CTTGAAAACTATGGACTGATAGTTACTTGGAAGATGAATTTTGTAATGAGAACCTTGGCTCGTAGGAAAACAAAAGACTATGGATCATGAGTACACATATATATAGCATTTCAAACAAATATTCCTTGTTCGTTTTGTCCGGGTGAAAAGTTCGCACAGGCGGTGTTGAGTGCCACTAAGGTATTACGTCGATCGGTTTATGTGCATCAAGTTACTATCTAGTCGACTGAGAGGTTATCAGAGGCACTATTCAGTCACTTTTTCGGCCTTCATGGATCAACTTACAGAGGTGAAGCCATGAAAGGACTAGGATGGTCCAAGTCCATCCTGACATTATTTTAACGCATAAAAATTTAGTGTTATACTTATGATTTTCAAGATTTTTCGTAGGCTCAAAGTCTTAATTTGACCTTTACTTTAATTCATTTCGTCGGATTTGATTTGAGGTTGGTGGTTCCTATGGAGTTCAGGAAATCTATTGATTGTGAGTTTTGAGCAGGACTTTGGTTTAGGGATTAGTGAAGGGAGGGAGGAAGAAAGTCATAGAGGCTTAGGGTTTAGGTTTAAGGAAGAGGATGATTAGGATGACACCAAACCATACCTAAATGATGTTGGTCAATTGCTCACTACATGACAGAGTAATTTTTGTAAGATCAGAAGAGGGTTTGGAATTGAGACATTTGGACCCCTCATAGGCTAAAATTATGGCTTTGCCACTAAACTGACCACTTTGAACTTTGAGGGATTCACCATTGGCTTGAGTACTATCACCCAATAATAGGAAGCCAAAAATCATCATACTATTTAGGGTTTGTTTGAGATTGTTTATGTTTGAAGCATTTCTACTCATAAGCACTTATGTTAGAAGTGTTTTAATTAGAAATACGTTGAAATTTCTATTGAGGGTCTAAGTGAAACACTTGAAAGTTCTTCTTAATGAAGTGTATGACATGTAATTCTCTTGAAAGTGCTTATACGATTCAAAAACACTTTTAACTTTTTATGTTGATCGTGAGATAGTGCATGTAATCAATTCACAAGCAATCTCAAACATGACTCTAAGGTAACATATTTGAATTATTAGCGCCTCAAAATTGTAGTTTAGTACATCATGTTGCTAGAAAGGGTCAACTTGAAGAGTTTTTTTTTTTTTTTTTTTATTCGAATGATATTATAATTGAATGTAGAGTAGGGGAGAGGGATACAAACTTGAGTGTAGACGTAGTGGGAAAATTAAAATACTCTAACCAACTCCACTACGTGTATTTAATATTCAAGAAGTTTTAAATTTTGGATTATTTGTTAATGGAAACAAAAAGTGAGGTTAGTTTGGGATCTGATTAACACAGGTCGATCATTGATTTGTTGGCCTCTACTATTATCTTGTGAGTTATGACTTGGACTCGAACGTTGTTTGAAGTACACCCAAGTTTCATCTATGGACACCTATTAATTTTATTTACAAGACTCTTATACTCATATGCAAATTACCACAAAAGGGCTTAGTGATTTATTCATGAAAATAATTATTTTCTTTGCACACCTATAGGGTTTTAAAACAACTAGCGTGATAATAAAATGACCGATGAATTATGCGACTGTTGCATTCTACTTTACCGTGCTAATCTAAACTTCACAATGATGTCCTCCTCTTCATAATTAATACAAGAAAAATAAGTGTCCAAAGAAAATGAAAGATAGGTGTCCAAAAAAATTCATAAAAAGTAAAAGAAGAGTCTTGTTAAAAGTTTAATACATTATTTAAATGTGTGACAGTAAATTAAGCGTCTAAAAATAAAACATAAATGTACACAAAACATATAAATTAACTTTAATTCGTTTCGCAAGTAGTTTTTTTATCACAGTAATAAATATGTGTTTAATCTTTACATGATGACGTGAATTTAAACTCTAACAACGACTAACCTAATAAAAAAATTTCGGTTGACAAATGAAAATAAAATAAAATAAAAACCTTTAAGTCGTTTCACTTGGAACCCGTGGGCTTCACAAAGACATGCAACCAATGTTTTCGCTTTTTAGTTCAGTAGATTGACAACTTTTGCAGCATATCACAAGGTGTCAAGGAAAACACGTGCTCTCACGTGACACGTGCTGACATAAACCTACACCTGTGCCTCACTTCTACTGTAGCATGACAGTACTTAAACTCTACTACTACACGTGTACACCATCACTTCTTTTTGGTTTGAAAAGAGGAACCAGGACGGATCCATTCCCTAGGAATCCTGTAATTCTGTCCATTTATCATATATCATGCAGTAAAAAGTCATTTAAAATTTAAAATTTAAATGTAAATAGTACCTAACGAAAATTAAACTCACAATATACGATGAACGGATAGAATTAAGGGATCCTTAGGGAATGGATCCGGCGAGGATCCTAATTCTGAAAAGAGAACATAACTTTGGATCAGGATCCTCTCCTAACCTTAAAAAACCAAGTCTGTTGAGCAGGCGATCGTAGTAATTGAAATTTGATTCAACGGTTACAAACAGAGATCCTTTAAAAGTTATAATAATTGTAGTCGTTTGATCTAATTCCAACGGTCACGATTGTCTGCTCAGCAGACTTAATTTTTTAAGGTCGAAAGAGGATCCTGATCCCATAACTTTGAATGAGTTCGGATACTCTTTGTGAGGATTCCGGAAATCCTCCAATCATGTTCATTCATTATATATTATGCGGTCATAAATTATTGTATTTAAAATTAAATATAAACAATACCGAATGAAAACTAACTACACAATATACGATAAACAAACGGATTATAATTATCGGAATCCTCACAAAGAGCGTTCAGAGAGTATCCTCATTCCATAACGTTGGACTTCCATATGACCTTCAAACCTGCGGGAGTGAGCCACTTGTAACACAATTATAGGCTGCTTGATAATTATTTTCAATTTTTTATATTTAAAATATAAAATAAAAATGACTCTGTTTCAATATTTGACATGAAAATTTGAAGTAGAGTAAATTGTAGCAATGATCCATCAACTTTAATAAAATTGGAGCAATGGTCCCTCAACTAAAAATTCATTATCATTGGTCCCTCAACTTATCAAAATGTATAGCTATAGTCATTTTCATCAATTTCGTCAAAATTTTGTCAAAATAAGTTATGTTGGAATAACCATTTATATAATTAGGGTCATTCAATTCATCAAAGTGTGTAATTATTGTCATTTTCGTCAACTACATCAAAAAATTTGTCAAAACGAGTTATGTTGGAAGGACCATTGCTACAATTGGGTTAGAGTAAAGAGACTATTTATCAAGTTGAATTAAAGTTGAGGGACCAATGGTAATAGATTTTTAGTTGAGGGACCATACCTGCACGTTTTGATGAGTTGAGGGATCAATGGTAATGAATTTTTAGTTGAGAGACCATTGCTCCAATTGAGTTAAAGTTAAGGGACCATAACTACAATTTACTCTTTGAAGTAAATACCAAACAAGTTTTTCAAAAAAATAAAAAACTGTATAATGAATTGAAAACTAAAAACTATAATGAAATGGTTATCAAGAGCTAAAAACTACATAAGCCACACTTTGTCCTTAAAAAATGTTCGTTTTCAATAAATATTATGTCAAAAAATGAACATTTGGATGCATTAAGGTTTGAGTTCCGCTGTCAGCAATCTTCGTTTGAGCGCAATCTATAAGTTTTTACATAAAATTATACCCGTGACAGTTGACAGTTAGGCGTCACAATTTATGCACTAACATTTGTATTTGGACATTTTCACATTATGTGTCATTTTTTACAAAGAAAACAAGAACATATTTGAATTATATTTTCTATTTTTCATGATAATTCCTAGCTAAAAGCATTAAATGTCTTGTTTTTGTGTAAAAAATGACACATCATTTCTTCAAATGAAAAGATCTAAATACAAAAGATTAAGGAATAATTAGGTTTTCATCCTTATTTTTACTACTCTATTGATTAAAACCTTATTACTTTTCAATTTTTGATCAAGGTCCTTTGTATTAATAATATCATTAATGATTTCAATAATAAAATATTTTTTATTTCTAAATATATTCATTTAATATTAAAAATGTTACAATTAGTATATTTATATTTATGGCTAAATTTTTTATCATATATTTTTATTTTTAGTTTGTACCCATTTTTAATTTGCAACCCTTTTTTAATTTGTACCAATTTTCCTTTCAGTTTTAATTTGTACCCATATATTAATTTCTTTTTGTGCCCATATTTTTTAAAGTTTTATTTGTATTGTACCCATATTTTTTTATTTATTTGTACCCATTTTTATTTTTGCTAAATGTACCCATTTTGAAGAATGTACCCATGTTTTGATACAATAATTTTTTGGTTATTTTTTATGAATGTACCCATGTTTACACACACACACACACAATAGTATATTTATATTTTAATATTTTTAATCCCACAAATTATGGTTTTTTATTTAAAATCTCATTACTATAAACAACTATAAATTTTAATTTTTAATTTAAAAAATATAGTAACGTACATAGAAATAAATTATCAATTAATTTCAGGGACTTGGATCAAAAATTGAAAACCAACAAGGTTTCAGTCAAAGACTGTTCATAACTAGGGACCGCATCCAAAGTCTCCCAAAGATTAATGCAAGTATTCCTACCACTCCTCCAATACGTAATAGGGCGATAATCAATCGAACTGAAATGAATTGTACTGAGGAGAATTAAAGTTTGAATTTTCACTATGAGTTTTTTATATATTTTCAATACAACGATATTCTACTGATGAATTGTGAATTGGAGAGGACACATCCGAGTGAATATATCCAAGAACATGTCATATATATATACGTTGATATTTCTTATGGGGGCAGAGTTGGAGGTATATGAAAAACTCAGATACCCACACAACAGAAGCTCCAATAAATCCCATCCATCACCTTTTCAAAAAAAAAAAAATAAATAAATAAATAAATCCCATCCATCTGACCCTTTTCACAGCCACCTCTCATTATTTCCTCTGCCCAAAAGCCCTTAAACCCAACAAACCCAGCAAGCATACCCAACAAACCCAAAGCTCTCTCTCTCTCTCTCTCTCTCTGAGACTCACTCTCTTACTCTAAAACTCAAACCACCAAACATGGCAGCCTCCCTCACGATCTCAAGGCTCCTCACAGCCCCCAAGTCCCTCGCTTTCTCCACCACCACCGCCGCCGTCGCACCCAAAACATCTCTCTTCTCTCCCAAATCCTTCTCCTCCAAAATCTCCTACACCCCTCTCCCCCTCAAACACTCCCCCCGCCCAAAACCCCTCCTCCGCTTCTCCACCACCGCCTCCAAACCCATATCCGCCACCATCGCCGTCGGCGACAAGCTCCCCGAAGCCACCCTGTCCTATCTGGACGCCGCCGGCGACGTCCAGACCGTGACTGTCTCCGACCTCACCAAATCCAAGAAGGCCGTCCTCTTCGCCGTCCCCGGCGCCTTCACCCCGACCTGCTCCCAGAAACACGTCCCGGGATTCGTGGAAAAGTCGGGGGAGCTCAAGGCGAAGGGCGTCGAGACCATCGCCTGCATTGCGGTCAACGATGTCTTCGTGATCAAAGCGTGGAAGGAGAATCTCAACATCGGTGACGAGGTGCTGCTGCTGTCCGATGGGAACGGCGATTTCACGAGGGCGATCGGGGCGGAGCTCGATTTGAGCGATAAGCCGGTGGGGCTGGGCGTCAGGTCCAGAAGGTACTCGCTTTTGGCGGAGGATGGAGTTGTTAAGGTCTTGAATTTGGAGGAAGGCGGTGCCTTTACTTCCAGTGGAGCTGAGGACATTCTCAAAGTGATCTGAATTTGCTTCTATCGGCGGCGGCGGCGGCGGCGGTGGTTAGCAGGTTTTTCCTTTTTACTTCTTGGGTTTTGTTTTTAATTTATGAGTATAATACTGTGTTGCCTTTGCGGGCTTGTAGCTTAGTTGGTTAAGAGTAGCTTTGCAACCGAGGTCCTGAGTTCGATTTTCCGCTCCTTCAATTTCGCTTGTATAAAAAAAAACAAAGAGATCTGGTTTCTGTTTAATAAAATCAGTTGGGTTTTTCTGATTTGATGAATGTAGAAAGTTCTGGTTTTTGAAATTTCGTGATGAATTGTTTGTGTTTTGGGATGGTAAAATTTGGTTTGATGGCCTGTTTGGAATTGCTTTTCCATAAAGAACTATGCTAGAAGCGCTTCTGCAAGTCAAAAACACTTTCAAGTTTTTTTCTACACCATGCAGTCAGAAGCGCTTTTGCTATGCAGAAGCAATGACAAACATGGCAGAAATGAAAGCAAACCATAATAAAAATACCAACCAATATGAAACCCTAAACAAGAACCCATTGTAGCTAGATGATTTTCAGCTAATGTTCAAATGAAGATTCTACCTGTCTTTGCAATTGAAGTTGGGATATTGTATGTTTTCGGAATGCTTATCCGAAAATACGCGTAGTTCCTTGCTTACATGGAAGAAGAAGAGGATAAACAAGGTACACAGCAACCATAATTCACTGTACAGTTATACAGAGTCCTCGAAACTTACGTCTTCAACGTATGTCTCCATCTTCAGCCCCAGAATCATCGTCATTAACGTTTCTCCGCATCTGAAGCTGAGCATAGCTTTCCATCCCGTAGAGCATAAAAGTTGAAGAGAAAGGAAGGTTCATTGCCGGGTTACTGGTTCAGCAGTACTTCTATACGGGTTATCTTGGCCAATTCTTGCACCGTGGACTTGAGCACCAAACATCTGATCCCTACACCTTTGCAACGGAAAACACATCGTCATTAGAGCTGCGATCATCCATTCCGCTGACCATTATCCGGGCTCTCGCAACCTCACCTCCTTTTGAAGAAAACCATGCTCGAACATTTTCCTTCACCCCAAATATGCACCAGTGGAATCCTGTAAATATCTTCTCTGGTCCTTGGAGGTTATGCCAGCAATCCAGCGCCCCTGTGAGAACGTACTGCAAGAACGGATACACAAGATTAACATGAAACAAACCTTCAAGGACATCATCATTTGTTCTAAAATTTTCTAATCAAATAGCACGAGATTTTCCCAACGCGTATATAAAATTCATGTACGAATTTCTTTCGGCGAAACTTTGTTTTCAAGGCTATACAGAACGGTCACAGAAGGTTAGATGTTATGGCAAGGCAAAGAGGCAGAAACAACCACAGTTGAAAATCTCCCAGGTACAACTCAACCTTCATATAACCTATTAATATTTTAGCAATACACGAATCCATTGGACTAGATAACTTCACCGTGCTGAAATGCGTGGATAATCAACGATGGAAAACAAGTCGTAAGTTAGTGTCTGTGTGATGTTAGATGCATCAACGTTCTACAACATACATTCCATTTTCCAGCAGAAGGAACAGCTTTGAAGACTCTTAACTTTTCAGAACGCTAATCCAAAAGCTTTTTCAAATTGAAGACGATTGGGATAAACAAGATATACAGCACTAAAACTCACCATAAAGTTATAAAGATACCATACATTTTTGGCCGGATTACTTCTGAAATTATCTGACCAAGTCCTTTTTGGAGTTAACTGTGCTCCTCTTCAAGGATATGCCAGGCTGCCAGCACAGACGTACGCTAAGGATACTTGGTTACTGGTTTTGCAATATTCTTATATCTTGGCCGATTCTTGTGCTGAGAACTTCAAGAATGGCAAACATCTGTTCCCTTTACATTGGCAACAGAAAACACATCCTCATTAGAACTGCAGTCATTCAATCCTTTGACGCTCATTTCTGAGCAGACAATCTCGGCCTCTCGCAACCTCCCCTCCTTTTGAAGGCCAGATGTAAGTTCAAGGCACGTCAAGGCGTTTAGAAGAAAACCATTCTTAAACAGTTCCCTATACCAAAAATATGCACCACTGAAGTCCTTCAGTTCGCAGTGTCCCTTAACAAGTAAGTTATATGTATCAGCTTTAGGAGCCAGTCCTTGAGCCTTCATATCATTTACTAAGTCCTTTACCTCTGAAATTTTTCCTTGCTTGAAGTGCCCCAGAATCAAGCTATTATATGTCATCCTGTCAACATAAATCTTCTGGTTTACCATCTCAGAGTGCAAAGCAAGCGCCTTTTGAGTGTCTCCATGCTCTGCGTAACCATGGATGAGTGCATTATATACAATCCGATCAGGAACCAAGCCCATCTGTAGCATTTCACTATACAGCTTCTCTGCCAATGCCATATCTTCCCTGCTACATCGACTAATTAGAGGATGATATGTATACAAAGTAGGTTTCATGCCCAGACTCTTGATAGTTTCATATAATTCCAGACATTTCTGGGTGTTTCCTGCATCAGAATAACCTGCAATTAGGGAGTTGTATGTAATCACATCTGCACTATAACCGCTACTTGTAATTTGAGAGACATAGTCTTCAGCTTCCATCACCCGTCCTTTCTTGCAGAGTCCATGAATGAGTGCATTGTAGGTTACAAGTGTTGGATTTATCCCAGTTTTCGCCATCTCATCGAAAAATCTGAAAGCATCTTTCAGATTCCCCACTGTAGATGTACCACCAATGAGCATATTATATATTTGTGCATTTGGCAAAACCCCTCTGCTTACCATGTCCCTCAGTACTATCTCAGCTTCAAGAAGCCTCCCGTCTTTGCATAAACCATTTACAAGAGAACCATAGCTCACAATATTTGGCTTAATCCCCTTATTTTCCATCACTTCAAGAATCTGGAAACACTTATCAAATACGCACATCTGCCCGTAGCCATTAATAAGGATGTTATACGTCTCCAAATTTGGAATAACTCCCTTCTTTGCCATCTTCTTCACCCATTCCTCAGCCATATCCATATTCTTTGTCTCACAGACCTTGTCAATCAAAGAATTGAAAGTGATGCAATTCGGCTTCAACCCGCGAACTTCCATTTGTTCAATGGCCAAGATGGCTTTGTCTATCTCACCAATTCGACAATAACCACTGACGATAGTATTATATACTACTACATCTGGAACAAAACCAGTTTCCATTAGTTTCCTCAAAACGTCCTCTGCCTTCTCAATGTTTCCTTCCTTGCACAAGCCATTCAACAAAATGCTACAAGTATAACTATTAATCCTCACACCTTTCCTGTTTGCTTCTTCAAATAAAGCCAGTGACCCCTCACCATCCCCACACCTGAAATGCCCATCAAAGAGTATGCTATAAGTAAAACCATCAGGCGCAAAGCCGTGAGCTTCCATCTCTTCTAAAATCCTTTTCGCGTCCTCCATTCTCTTCACCCGACAAAGTCCACTAAGCATTGTATTATATGTGACCATATTAGCTTCCACATTCTCATCCTTCATCCTCTCTCTCAATTCAAAGGCCTTCTCCAACTCACCAACCTTAGAATACCCATCAATCATCGTATTGTATGTAACCAAATTTGGGGCCACCTTTCCCTCAACCATCTCATCAAACACCTTCTGTGCATCCCTCATTTTCTTCTCTTTACACATCCCGCTGAGCAACACATTATACACAAACACACCTGGACTCATCCGCTTCATCTTCATTGAATTCACTAGCTGATCAGCCCTTTCCAGGTCCCCTAACTTTACAGAAGCTTGTATTGCCTTCCCATACGTGAACTTATCAGGTCGAATGCCCTGACCGGACTCAAAAATCTCCGAAAACAATTCAAGGGTCTTACCAAACTGTTTCGAAGTCACCAAAGATTCAAGCATCACATTGAGAGAAGCTAAGCAAGGGCGTGTACCACTTTTCCTCATCAAACTGTACAATTCTACTGCTTCGTTCGGCATCTTAGACTCTGAACAAGCCACTAAAAGCATGTCACAGAATGCGGGTTTCATGGAGGGTGCAGAGAGAGAAAACAAGGTGTAGAGCTCAGTGGGGGAAGAGAAGGGTGAACTGGGGAGAACGAGAGACTTGATGAGCCTCCGTGCGGTTTCAGAACGACCCTGCTGAAGGAGGACTCGGAGCTTTCGGATTTGCTCATGGTGTTGTTGCTCCTGGAGGTTGGTGGGGTTGTGGTTCTCTGTTGGGTCTTCAATCTGGGGTTGATGAGTTTGGTTGGCAAATGAGTCTGTGCAGAGATTGAACGAGAGAGGGACTGAGATTGGATTTTGGGGTTTGTTGAGGGCATTCAATATGGATTTCCGATGAAAGAAGAGGCACCTTGCCATTTTCAAATTTTCAGAGTCTGTAGTCAGTCATGAACCCAGGGTTTAAAACTGCAGAGGGCTGAACATCAAATCCAAATTTCATTAGCAGAAAGATTTTGTCAAACTTTCAACAGAGTCCATTGTTTCTATGGCATTCCCCACCTGTTGATAACAACCAAAAAAAAGAATGAATATAGGAAAAAATTAGCACGACAAGTTACCATCGTCACTAAACGTCTGGCTAGCTGATCTTGCTAGCTCTAATTACTACTTTGGGAAATTAGAACAAAGCCAACACAGTGTTAAACTACAGCATATCGTTAAAACAATTTGATCTCCTATAGGTCCAGATGATATCTCAAAATATTACAAATAGATGTACTGTTAAAACTAGGACAAATACATGTATAAGCATGTGACATTTATAATCCGTGTTATCTAACATTTTGCGATCCATCCCTTACAAACTTGGCATCAATCCCTTGGGACGTGCAAATCGCTCGACCAAACATAGCCTATAGCCTACACCTATTGGTAATGAGGGGATAGAATCCAAATATACAAATCAGAACGTCACGAACGAGAGCTACACTCACAAATTCTCGAGAAAAACAACATACTTGGAAATTTCTTAACTTAAAACTCAACAGTCGTTCCTTCAAATCTCATAAACCCTAAACACCCACACTCACAAATTCAGTCAATCTCAACATAATTCATAATTAACTTCGTCAATTCTCCAACGCGGGATTGCGAGACAACTAAAACCCATCAAGCTTACCGTGACTGAAAGAGTGGCAGGCTTGAGGCAACTCGAGAGAGGAAGGCTACTGAATTCAATGATTCAGGTTCAAAATAATTCAAATCCCTAATTTCCCCAATTCTACAATCCCTAAACCCTAAAATTCAAGAACAAAAGAAAAAGAAAAAGAAACACACTTACATGAGGGAGTGAGCAGCAATCCAGTTTAGCCACCGCCTGGAGGTGGAGGAGAGGTGCAGACACAGCAGAGTGCAGAGGAGGAGTCGGGACTTCGATTGACCTTCAAATTCCCTAAATCCCTAATTTTTATTATTAATTCTATCGTAAAACCCTTCTAAAACCCTGATTAATCTTTTCTGAATAGCCCATGTGTAAAGTAGGTTGGGCTGTTTCATGGGCTTTTTCGTTGGCCCACTAATTGTTGTTGTATGAGTTTCTTTTGGATTCACAAATCAAGTAAATTTGAGCAAAGTCTTTGATGTTAATGTGGTTACAGTTTCTGTCAAAATTAAACACGTAATAGACACGTGCTTTTAAAGTGCTTAATTTTAACGAAAATTCTTATAGGCTTGAGATAAAGAATCAATGCTTCACATTTTTTTTTTCAAATTCAAATACCAATTCTAATTGATTTTAAATTTAAAGATTAAAACTAATTTAAGTCAGTTTGTTAAAAACAAAAAAAAAAAACCTAAAATCAGTCATTGTTCAAGGACTGATATTCCAATTTCTCTTAAAAAATCATAACCCATAATACAAAATGTGTAATTCGTAATGCATAAAGAATAACAAGATCTTCCTCCGCTCACCAGTCACAGACAATTAATATATGTCTCTAAAACCCTTTGAACCAAGCACCATCAACAAAAATAAAGCCTTAAATTGCTATAATTTATTTCGATTCAGCACTAAGTCTAACTCATTGTTCCTTATTTCAATTTTGTAAGCACATAGGTTTGAGATTGTCATGCTTTTAAAAAAAAGTAGCTTATAAAAAAAAATTGGAACATTGAATGTATTTGGTAAAACAAAAAAAAAAGTGTTCTTTTTAAAAATTGTTGTCAATGAAAGTAGAAAAACATATAAAAGTAGATGCAGAGTCTACTATGGTTCTTAAAAAGTTTTTTTTTTTCAAAGCATAGTAATCAATGTTCATTTAATAAAATTTTCAAATATCAAGTATACTCTCACATGCCTTACAAAATTACAATCTTTGCCTCTACATTATTGTCTTTGACAATTGTAACATCTCACATCGCCCAGGAGAGTGGATCATGTAAGTCTTATATGTATATTTTCATCTTTACCTAGCATGAGACCTTTTGGGAGCTCATTGGCTTCGGGTTCCGTAGGAACTTCGAAGTTAAGCGAGATTGGAGCCAGAGCATTTCCAAGATGGGTGATCCATTAGGAAGTTGCTCGTGAGTTCCCAGAAACAAAACCGTGAGGGCGTAGTCGGGGCCCAAAGCGGACAATATCGTGCTACGACGAAGTCGAGCCCGAGATGTGATGGGGGCCCGAGCCAGGATGTGACAATTTGGTATCAGAGCCAATCCTTGGCCGAAAGTGTGCCAACGAGGACGTCGGGCCCCTAAGGGGATGGATTGTAACATCCCACATCGCCCATGGGAGTGGATCATGTAAGTCTTATATGTATATTTTCATCTTTACATAGCACAAAGCCTTTTGAGAGTTCATTGGCTTCAGGTTCCGTAAAAACTCTGAAGTTAAGCGAGATTGGAGCCAGAGCATTCCCAGGATGGGTGACCCACTAGGAAATTGCTCGTGAGTTCCCAGAAACAAAACCGTGAGGGAGTGATTGAGGCCAAAAGCGAACAATATCGTGCTACGATGAAGTAGAGCCCGGAATATGGTAGGGGCCCGGGTCGGGATGTGACAATTTGGTATTAGAGCCAATCCATGGCTGGAAGTGTGTCGACGAGGACATCGAGCCCCTAGATGGGGTAAATTGTAACATCCCACATCGCCCAGGGGAGTGAATCATGTAAGCCTCATATATATATTCTCATCTCTACCTAGCACGAGGCTTTTTAGGAGCTCATTGGTTTCGGGTTCTGTAGGAACTCCGTAGTTAAGCGAGATTGGAGCCATAGCATTCTCAAGATGGGTGACCCACTAGGAAGTTGCTCTTGAGTTTCCATAAATAAAACCGTGAGGGCGTGGTCGGGGTCCAAAGCGGACAATATCGTGCTAAGGCGAAGTCGAGCCCGGGATGTGACAACAATTGTTATATCACATTAAATATCAGATCATTTTTAGTCATTTAACATATTCAAAACAATTTATTTAAAAGTTTACCAAACACTCAACAACTTTATTTTATATCTTTTTATTCTCACAGCATACTAGAAACAAATTTTTTTTAAAGCACAACATTACCAAACTAACCCTAAGGGCTTGTTTTGGAAATGCTTTTAAAATGAATGAAAATGTTTTTAATAAAAATATTTTAGGGAGCAATCCTTAGTAAAAATACCAAGTAAATTCCGAAAAAGCATTTAAAGTGCTTCGTGAACTCTAAAATATTTTTAGTCAAACAAGGTCTAAGGTTAATGGAAGAAAATCAGTGGTGGGGCCACATGGAAGCTAGGCCAGCCCATCCTGGAATTTCACAATATATACATGTTGTTTGCTAGCATGTGGATCAAAATCCAACGGTCCAGATCCCGGACTAGGTGGATTTGGTGGAAAAGGATCCGGAGATGATCTCTTTCCCCCAAATACTTGGTGTAATTAATGCTTGGTTTGGTTGGTTAGTATGATACATTTAACAGATTTTGTGGCTAGACTAACCAATTTTTTTGTAAATGTGAAGCCTTTCATGCTTGCATAATTCATAATGGGAAATTTTATTTGAATCCATATTTTGTATCTCAACACCCAGCTTACTTTTTATACCTACATTGTATTTGATTTATCTATTATTATCTCTTTACACCCAACGTTATTTCTGAAACCGCCATTATCAAAACTCAATTCAATCAAACTTCTTTTTACACCAAACTCAATCTACTTAAAAATAAAAAATAAAACCCTAACCAGTCCATCATCTCCATGGAGCAAAGTCTCTTATCTCTCTCTTTAAAAAATCCTTCCATCTCCCATGGTTGCCATTCTACACCCTCATCTATTCCTTTGTGGTCATCCAAACCTTTTACTCTTCCTTTTCTTCATCATTTGACATTTCTAAATTTCTAGAGCACTAATTAGCTTAATAATTGGTATGTGTTCAATAATTTGGTTCAATTTTTACGTATTGATTCCTTTTTCTTTTCAATTAAATAAGCTTCTAGTTAAAATGTTTATGAGTTTGGTAGGTTTCAATTAAATGAGAATCTTCTAGACTCTATATTCCTATCTGTGGTAGAAAAATTGGTACGTCCATGAGATAGATCAATGAATATTTTTAACTGTGGATATTTTTTTTTTTGTCAAAACTGTGGATATTTATTACATACAAAAGTTGCGGACAACAATTCACATTACATTGAACTATGGCTAAAAAGTATATCGCATTTGCACATTTTAAAGGCAAACTCATAGTTAAGCAGTTTTTATTGTGGAGCAAAACTTCGGGAATTGATCTAACCTGGATGTGTAATTGAGTTTATGTATTTTAATGATTAAACTGATAAATATTTCAACCACATATGGATTTAATATCGTAGTATCTTTTAGCCTCTATATGCCACAAAAGTTGCAGACAAAAATTCACAATACATAGAATAGTGGTAAAATAGTATATCGTATTTGCCCATTTTATAGGTGAACTCATCGGTAAACGGTTTTTATTGTTGATCAAAACTTCGGAAATTGATCTAACTTGAATGTATAATTGAGCTTATGCATTTTAATGATTAAATTCATAAATATCTTGACCGCATATGAATTTTGTTTGTACCATACTTGACCAATCCCAAAACTACTGAGTATCGGTCAACGTTATACCGTCAAGGACCCAGAAGAGTTTCCCTCCAACCAGGAGGCCAATCACAATGTGACACGTGTTGACATCAGAAGCCAATCACAGCGCAACACGTGTTAACATCAGAAGCCAATCACAACACGACACGTGTCAATGTCAGAACAAAGCTAGAAACTCTTCTATAAAAGGAGATCATTCTCCCACAATATTTCTTAATGTCATTTGTACTAAATCATTCACTTGTACTCACTAAAGGAGAGCTTGAATCTATGTACTTGTGTAAACCCTTCACAATTAATGAGAACTCCTCTACTCTGTGGACGTAGCCAATCTGGGTGAACCACGTACATCTTGTGTTTGATTCCCTGTCCCTATCGATTTACATACTTATCCACACTACTGACCGGAGCAATCTAGCGAAGGTCACAAACTTAACACTTTTTGTTGTACCAAAGTCATCACTGATTTTGTGCATCAACAAATTTAATATCGTAGTGTTTCTTAGCCTCTATATTGGTATATGTGGCAAAAAAATGGGTACCTCCATGAGAAAATTTTGTAGATCGATGAATATTTTCAATTTGAATATTTATTAGATACCAAAAATTATAAGTCTATTCGCGAAAGTCTAAGTCAATGTCACGTATAATATTTGTTAAGATATATTTAGGGAACTGTTATTAGCACTCCAAAAATCTCATTCTACACTTTGCACAAGTATATTTTTCTTTCTAATTATAGAAAGTTTAGAGTGCCAAATGAGATTTTTTGAGTGCTAATAACAATTTTTTATATTTATATACATTTTATTTTAGTTTGGAAGTCGACTTCCTTTTCTTTTTTCTTTCTTTATCAAATTGGGAGTATCACTGACTGTGACCCTGTGCAACTTGTTGTTGATTCGTTTTGAATAATCAACATTATTTCTTACAATGTCTTGGGTGTATGAATAACAGAAAGAAAACGATCATGATACAAGCTGAATAAGAATAGTACTAATTAGTTAACAACTGGTGCATGATGTTTGTTTATAACCAAGTGGCATGAAGTGACAAATGTGTATGTTTCATGCATGACTTGGAATAGTATTAATAAAGTCACATAGGCCAATCAACTTGTTAGAAAGTGACCATTTACCACAGTGGTGAAAAAGTGTTGTGCTCTTGTATGACGGCGTGAGTTCGAATTCTGTCGGTGACTATTCTAACATCTAACTTACTCATGCTATCGCTTGACTAAAAAAAATAAAAAAAGGCATATCACAACTTAGGGATGCTATTCCAAGTCATGCATGAAACCTACACATTTGTCCCTTCATGCCACTTGGTTATAAGCAAACATCATGAGCCCAAGACATTGTAAGAAATAATGTTGATTATTCAAAACAAAACAACAATTAGTTCCACGGGGTCACAGTAAGTGATACTCCCAACTTGATAAAGAAAGAAAAAAAAAGGAAGTCGACTCCCAAACTAAAATAAAATGTATATAAATATAGAAAATTGTTATTAGCACTCAAAAAATCTCATTTGGCACTCCAAACTTTCTAATTAGAAAGAAAAATACACTTGTGCGGAGTGTAGAATGAGATTTTTGGAGTGCTAATAACAGTTTCCTAAATATGTCTTAACAAATATTGTACGTGGCATTGACTTAGACTTTCGCGAATAGACTTATAATTTCTGGTATCTAATAAATATCTATATTGAAAATATTCATCGATCTACAAAATTTTCTCATGGAGGTACCTATTTTTTTGCCACATATACCAATATAGAGGCTAAAAGATAATACGATATTAAATTCATATGTGGTCGATATCTTTATGAATTTAATCATTAAAATGCATAAGCTCAATTATACATTCAAGTTAGATCAATTCCCGAAGTTTTGGTCAACAATAAAAACTGCTTACCTATGCGTTCATCTATAAAACGTGCAAATGCGATATACTTTTTAACCACTGTTTTATGTATTGTGAATTTTTATTCGCAACTTTTGTGGCATATAAAGGCTAAAAGATACTACGATATTAAATTCATATATGGTTGAAATATCTATCAGTTTAATCATTAAAATGCATAAATTCAATTACACATCCAGATTAGATCAATTCCCGAAGTTTTGCTCGATAATAAAAACTGCTTAACTATGAGTTCACCTATAAAATGTGCAAAGACGATATACATTTTAGCCACATTTCAATGTAATGTGAATTGTTGTCCGCAACTTTGGTATCTAATAAATATTCACGGTTAAAAATATTCATTGATCTACCAAAGGTTATCATGGACGTACCCATTTTTCTACCACATATAGGAATATAGAGGCTAGAAGATTCTCATTTGATTGAAACATACCAAACTCATTAAACACTCTAACCAGAAGCTCATACCGATTATTAAGCTAATTAGTGCTCTAGAAATTTAGAGATGTCAAATGATGAAGAAAAGGAAGAGGAAGAGGTTTGGATGGATTTTTTTAAAGAGAGAGAAGGGGATTTGCTCCATGGAGATGATGGACTAGTTAGGGTTTTATTTTTTATATTTAAGTAGATTGAGTTGGGTGTAAAAAGAAGTTTAATTGAGTTGAGTTTTGATAAGTAAGGGCGGTTTCAGAAATAATGTTGGGTGTAAATAGATAATGATAGATAAATCAAATACAATGTAGATACAAAAAGTAAGCTTGATGTTGATATACAAAATATGAGTTCAAATAAAATTTCTCATTCATAATTGAGAAAAAGACTTGTCTCTTAGGTGGATCTTCATAAATACAACCAAAAAAATCCTCTAGCTAATTGGTCCATGCAACACAATAATTTGCATTATACTTCGAATTATTTTATACTGATTTTTTTATCTTTACATCTTATATCGTTGTATCAAAAAAAAAAATTATACAGTATATAATGTTTCGCAGCATTGCTAAATTTTTTTCACATTTTCCAATTCAATGTCCGATCCATGGGACTACATAAATGAGTCATTTTCATTTTTTTTTTAGGAAAACTAATGAAAAAGGCTTGAAACCTTTGAGTTTTAACGATAAGGACAAAATAAAGTGTAAAGTGAATAGTACCATAATTGACTTTTTAGTGTAAAAATGTGGTTTTTCGTTAAAGTGAATAGTACCATGAGTTTTTCGTTAAATTTCCTTCTTTTTTTTCGTTTGTTATTTTCTCTGAGATTCGATTGCCATGATAATATCTTGAAATAGAAGAACGGGTGTTGAACGTTTTGAAATTATCAATCTGCTTTGTTTTCTGTACTGGACAGAGGATATTGAATCTTCTTTTTTATATCTGAATACAATAAAAAACTTGGTCATAAAGTATCTGACCACGTCATCTATAAGGCATCTGTGATAAAAACAGAAAAACTTTGTAGTTCCAACTCTTTTGACCTCACGTTCGTCTCCCTAGAGAGCTAACCTAATCAGGCAGCCCTACCGAGTAACGAAATTTTCTTGTACATATTTTGACTTTTGAGAGAGAGAGAGAGAGAGAGAGAGAGAGAGAGAGATCAAAATAGTGATGTTCCATTTCGATGGAGTTTATTCATTTGAGCAAAATCCAACCAAAAAAATGGAAAACTTAAAGGATCAAAGAAAAATCTGAGAGTTACAAGCAATCTCCATACAAAAGATGTTCTCTGATTGGGGTCACAGAACCCTTTGAGTTACCTAAAAGCCATTTCTTCCTTCTGTGTTGCATTCCCATAACAACAATCTGTAAAATGTAATTTCCTTACTTTTCTTGACTATTCACAAGAGAACTAATTTTTTCGAGTCGCCTCGAAATCTTATGCTGTACCTAAAAAATTGGCCATCATTTTCCCGCTTCTTGTTGGTCTCTCTCTTTACTAGCGCGCTGGTATTCTTCGAAGAAGAGAATGATTTCGTAGTGTTTCTGCAGCAGCCGCGTTAAGAGTTGGGAACGAATGTCCCAACATACCCGAAACCAATGATAAAGAAGGCAGTTGCTTGGATGTAAAGGAACAGGTAGAAGTAGTTCTTCCCAAAGATGAAATCGTAACAGCCACAGAAGAAGAGGTACAATCCAACAGCTAGCTCTAACAAATGAAGCCTGTTAACAAGTAAAAAAAAACACACACAAATGGCAAAACCACAATCAGGTATTCTGATTTCAGCAAGTGATACATGACTAATTGAAAAGAGGAGTCCTATCGCGAGAATGCTTACCTTTCTCCGATCCTGAATCTAGGTTTTCGGGGTAATTTTGTGGCCACTTTCAAAGTCTTGAGCGCATCTCCAAGTTTCTCAGTGACGATCCATTCATTCACTCGACTAGCCTCTAGCAGACCAATAATTGTAGCCTTCGTACGGTGTAGTGACATGATGTTCTCAAATAGGATCCAGAACACCAACAAGTGGATTGACCTGCAAAATCGTAGAACATGAATTCCTAATTTAAAGGCCAACTGAATACAAGAGAAATACAAATCGAAATGGCAAAAAAAGCAGAAGTTCAAAAGGAAATCAGACCTTGGAGTGCCAACTGCATTGAGAAGGGTAATCAAGGAAGGAATATAAATTCCTCCCCACTTTGGCACCACAACCTCAGGAACCAGGACAGTTGCGGGCAAGACAATGCAGTAAAATACAAACGCGTTGATATGCGCTATGATCTTCCTGACGAAGAAGAAGCTGTAAATCACATGTACCTTCTTCCAGAATGTTACTTTCTGCAGTAAACATACGAAGGTATGTAGAGGGTTAGTTATTTACTCATTTACACTTCATCTCCTCCCGTTGGTTAAACTTGATACCAATTACGAAAACCGCTCACCTTGTTCCTTATAATTTCCATGACCATTTTCCTGAAAAGATTAGCTGGACCGCAAGACCACCTGTGCTGTTGGTAGCGGTAGGCTTTGAAAGTGCTTGGCAATTCATTCTTCACCTATGGAGCAAACAAATAAGGATAAGATATTTCACTCAAAATGTGTCATGTATCTGAAGTTTACGGTACATTTGAAGTCGAAATCTACTAATTTGGGAACAAAGTGCAGGCATACTCAAAAGTTGATGAAATGGAACTTCAAAATGCATTAAAACAATGCTATATAGAATGGAAAGACAACTAGATCAGATAAGACTTGTATCTTACGTATCTTACGTAATACAATGCTATATAGAATCGAAGGACAACTAGATCATCAACACTAGTACACAAGCAAATGCTAAAAGATCTCTCACTCTCTACAAGTTTGGTTTCACGTCCAAATGTCTTTGTCAAAAGAACTAACTTTTTCCGGCTTTCCTAAACCCTAAACCCTAAACCTTACCACAGAGCAAAACACAACATTTGGATCGATCGGTTAAACACTAAAAAATACGTTAATGCAGAAAAAGATACAAGCATAGGACAGCAATGGTACCTGTATACTACCAAGATATACAAATTTCCAGCCTTGGAGACTCGCTCGAACAGCCAGATCCATATCTTCCACTGTTGTCCGGTCCTTCCATCCTCCGGCTTCATTGATCGCAGCAATTCTCCATACACCAGCAGTCCCTATATCATCATACCAACAAAACTCAGCAAATACATACTAAAAGTATTACCTCAACCCCTTTTAGCTTATAGTAAATACCATTTTCTTCCATTTTATAAACAAACAACTGTTAAAAATACATATATGAAGACAAGTAAGGGTAATTAGACGCACTCTCTAATATAAATAGGTCTTGCATACAGTGATAGGTCCCACCATTGTTAGCGAGCGTGTCAGTTTTCTCCCTAAGTGTTAAAAGTACTTATAGTTTGAAGAGCATGCTACTTAGACAGACAAAAATGACACATTTGTTGACATAACCTTGTCTAATACAGGTATATCACGCATACAAAGGTAGTATAGCATGGCCACTTTTATCAGACAATGTATCAATTTTAAGTATCTAAGTAAAATTATTATATTTCGAAACAGAATTAGCCCTCATTCCAAGCACTTGACTGCTCAAAATATGCAGAAATTACCATTGAATCCAAAGAAGGCATGAGTGGAGGAGCCCACTTCTTGTTCAACAGTAAAATGATAATCCAGTGACATTTCTTGCATTCTTGTCATCAAGCACTCGTTTGAATTCACTGCAAAACAAGTAAAATTAATTAATTTTTTTTTTAAAAAAAAAAAAGAAAAAAAGAAGAAGAAGAAGATCATAAAACACAGCTGCTGCAAATTCTGCATGAGTTTTCAAATAATAATGAGATAGCAGAGGATTAGGTCAAGTGTGTATAAAAGTATAGAGAGTAGAGTGTGACCAGGTCTATAGGGAATTGAGGTCTACCATTAAAGATGGCCACATGCTATTGCCTGGTTATCGAGAGATTTTTCAGTGTAGTTGATTACACTTTGACAAAGAAAGTGTAGTCACTATATTTGGCAGAGTTAAATTAAATGAAAGTGTAGTCGACTATATTTGACAGAGAAAATTAAAGGTACTCATGGGTCATAAAATGTGTTATGAAGAAGTTCCTACAAAATACTTTTCAAAAAGCACTTTCAAGTGTTTTTTCAAAAAAAAAAAAAATCAGATTTTATATAAAATGTGTTTCTAGTAAAAACACTTCTAGCCAAGATGATTTATAAGCAAAAATAGTTCTTACGTAAGCAATTTTAAACGAGCTCTAAAATTAGTAAAATCCCAAATGCTTTCCAAAGAAGCATTAAAACGTTTGTCAAATCCAGAAGCACTTTTATTTATTACTTTCAACCTATCAACATCTAATTAATTTGCACCTAATTGTGTCAAATAATTTGATAAAAATTAAAATCTTCGGGATTGTGTATCAAGCCAGCTAGAGCTTTGCCATTTCTCCATCTGTGACCACTGATGCCCACAATCCACCAACAAAAATAAATAAATTATTAATAGCAATAGAAAATGCTGCATGAGACAGATTAAAACAGACAAAGTGCTGAAAATAACGTCTGGGGTTTCTGGTCCTCAAAATTGCATCCATTAATGGAAATAGCACCAATTTCATGTGCTTTGCTTTGGACTCTGGGTCCCAAGGAAAAAATTTGGACAATTAGTTACGTATTGGTGCGATTCACACATCTATTTTTACTTCTCACATACTTGTATTAATTTCTAGCTGTTATATTGAATAAATTGAATAAGATTAATAAACAAAAATTAACAAGGGTGTATGGGAAGTAGAAATAGATATGTGAATAACAATATCCTTAGCTAAAATGATTCACTTTTGGATGTTTAATTGTTGAGATGATCGAAATCAAATATCGATGACATATCATGTAAATGAAACTACCATGATATGATAACGAAATGCTAAAAAGGCGTTGTTTTAGCACCCAATGGTCAACAGAAACACCTTGTTATAAAATGTTCGTGTTATAATTTGAGTAAAATAATTTGATCACATTGAACTCCAAGCAAACAAAACAGAGAGAAAGGAGAGACACGTGGCAAGCAAAACCAGGCAACCCAAGGAGGGGCCCACGTACTTCCTAGAAATCTTTCAAACAAGCACAGACTCACCGACAGTTTTAAAGTAAAGGCCGTCCTGTTTTTAGAAGTTTGACCAAAAAACTTAAAACTGCTAAAGGTTGTAAAAGTGCTTGTCGGAAAAGCACTTCCAAATGTTATTCTGCGACACACTCGAAATTTATAAATTTCAACGCGTCTCTATATGAACACTCACAATAAAAGCGCCGAGTAAAAGTGCTTTGTACAGAAAGCAGTTCCAAACAGTCACTAAAACTAATCAAAGAAGTGTGATTAATGGGGGATTAAGCAACTAACCGAACTTCCAGCGAGTCTGGACGAGTGCGAGCTCAGGGTTGTGGAGGAGGAAGGGGATCGTCCGCCACAGAAAGTCGGGCTCCGGCTGGAAATCCGCGTCAAAAATGGCCACAAAATCGCAGCTTTTGACGTAGCTGCGCTTCATGCCTTCTTTGAGAGCCCCAGCTTTGTAGCCATTTCTGTTGTCTCTTATTTCGTACTTAATGTTTATCCCCTTGCTTGCCCACCTTTGGCACTCCAACTCCACCATGTCCTGCATTCCCATTTAACAATTAGCCCAAAACATACCAAAATTTAATATGGTAATTAAAATTTTGAGCATTTGGGTTGTTTTATATTAAGGAAGTTCATTGACAACGATCATTTTGCGAATTCCGATTGCTGAAGTGATCAAAATCAAATAAAGATGACATATCGTCAAATATTTACAACATATTGAAAAATAATAGTTTTAGGAATTGAGATTTGTAAATTAATCATTTAGCTAATTTTTTTTTTGTATGAACAATATTCTAAACTATTCTTAACGGCTCTAATTTATGAAAAATGAGATACAAATGGACCGTCACACTGACTTAGCCAACTAATTTTTTTTATTTTTAGAATTATCCCAAATTATATGAATACCCTTTCAAATATTTAGGTAATTTAGACACATAAAAGAAAAGATTTTTGCTAGTGACCTTGATGGTTGGGTCAGTTGAATCATCAAGGACTTGGATGATGATCCTATCGGAGGGCCATGAAAGCCCACATGCAGCTCCAATTGAAAGCTGATAAACCTGCAACGATAATGAAATCACCAAAACACAAAATCAACGGTGTGAATTTAACAAATTAAGAAATAAATAAAACCGTTTCGTTTAAAAAATAATTAAGGGGTATTGAGGATGAGGACCTCTCTTTCATTGTACATTGGGATTTGAACCAGAACCATTGGATAAGCCGAGTTTCCGAGCTCCACGTCATCTTTCATGGGCTCCCATTTGTACCTTTTCTCCGGCTTCCGCCCGAACAACTTGATCAGAACGATGACGACCGCCATGTACAGCCGCTCGACGAAGAGCATCACCGACATGATCATACACAGAACGACGGCGAGCCGCAGCAAAGGAACGATCAGTGGGGCTTTGATCTGGCTCCAAATCAACCCCATTTGCATGGAAATGTCGTCTCTGCCGCCAAAAAATGAATCCGGGAGCTTCGCCGCCGTCGACAGCCGCTCCATTTGGGATTTTTTCTGTGATTTTTCGTCGCAGAAAACAGAGGAGCAAACGGGAGAAGAAAGAAGTGTAAAGATTGAAACTTTTTGGATTCTGAGAGAAACCCAGATGATAAAAGTGGGGGTTTTTATGAAAAAATAAGAAACATGAAAGGATGGAAATGGAAGAAGAGCTGAAGTTTCAGTGGCTCAACCTCCACCACATTTGAGATTTCAAGCTCAGATGCACAGAAAAACACAGAAACAATTGACCGCCTGAATATTTATTTGCATGGAAAAAAAAAAGACTCCTTTTATTTTCTTTTATTTTTTCTGGAAATATACAGACCTTTCTGCTTCAGAAAACAAGGAAAAAACAGAGGAAGAACAGCGCATATATATGTGTACATACACACACAGTGTGGAAACGGAAAAAACCAGAAACAGAAAGATGTATAAGTTGAGAGAAATCTCGCAAACCAAAGAGAGAAGAACTCCAAACTGCTAGTTGTAAAATGCAACGGAAACAGAAGCTCTCTAATTTCTTTTGAGTTTTTACCCCCCCTCTCTCTCTATCTCTCTCTCTCTCTTTTATAAGCTTCCAGTCCCAACTGTCCACCAAGTGCAGTGTTGTTGCGGGTTTTGGTTATAAAGCTAACAACCATAAAAGGTTCAAGTGATAAATTTTGGGATGTGTCATCCATACACCCTATTTTACTTCTCACACACCCTTGATAATTTTTATCCATTGAACTTCTTCAATTCATCCGATCCGACGGTCGAAAATTAAAAATGTATATGAGAAGTAAAACGGGTTGTGTGGATATCACATCTCTAAATTTTTCTATTATATTAAGAAGAGAGGGTTTGTCAACTTTTTGTCCCATTTTCTTCTAATTTTGCCCTCACTTTTGAATACATAATGTAGACATGATGAGGGGAAAATAATAATTTTGTATCTTTTGAACTTTTTTCTTTTTTCCCTATTTTGCCCTCATTTTTTATACACAATATTTACATAAGGAAGGCAAAATAGTAATTTTGTATCGAAATATTTACATAAGATAAAAAATATGTACTTATTAAGATAAATTGTTCTACTATCATTTTTTCATATGGGTAAGTGAAATTATAATATTTTTTGGATAATTTGAATTAACTGAAGCCATTGCGCTGGAAGAGAACGTGGGAGGAGATAAGCGGTTGTTCATACACACAAAGTGTGTGCTCATCTTCTAGTGTGTTCTAAAAAAAGAAGAGGAAAATTGCAAATGTGTCGGCGGTAGGTTTTACCGGCGGCTGATGTCGTATCACGGCAATAACCTTTTACCAATTTTGTCACCTACCACCACTAATAATCATTCGATTTTTTTGGAGAAATTCCTATCCATCAAAGGTAAGGATTAATCTCTGAGGTATCTTACACTCAAATTACACACATTCTCTCAACATTTTGCCGACTTCGTGCTTCAAACCCAAAGCCATGAAGCAAGACTTGAAATTTACTACATTTTAATTGAACCACTTGTCGTGGCTAGTAAAAGAAAAAATTATTTTGAGTAATATGTTAACACAGGGTCATTTGAGACCCATTAAGAGCACTATCGCAACACTGAAGAAGACGATCACTATCCAACTACCGCTTTTTATCTTTGATTGTCTACTGACAAGAAGGAACGAGCATAGAACCTAAAGTACTTTCCGACCACTCAAGACAATTGGCAAGTCTGGTAACTTTTTGGCACGGAGTTCCAAGGACAAGTCTACCCAAACATCAATTATAGGTCACACCTAGGCCATCAACGAGAATCTATGAAGAAACGTAAATATTGGCAAGCCTAACTAAAGTATTTTCCAACCACTTACGAACAAGTGTAGTGCTTGGTACGTGTCGACCCGATAAACCATGTAAATACCCTATCCATATGTCAAATGGATATTGGAGAAAGGAACCGGATCCCCTCATAAGCTTAGGAGGTTGAGCCTCCTGAGCAAAGGATCTGGACGATTGAAATTTGATCCAACGGCTAAAAACAGGGGCCCCTCTAAAAGTTATAATAATTGTAGCCGTTGGATCAAATTTCAACTGCCCGTGTGATTTGCTCAGGAGGCTGAGCCTCCTAAGCTCAGGAAGGGATCCTGTTTCTTTGAGAAATAGCTTATAGGTCGTTTTTACGTGTTTGTTCCATTAAATAATAAGTTCGTGAGAGAATGAAGGGCATATGACTTTGCTGGGGGGATGGGGTGCACTGAGCAACTATATAAACAGCCTGAATACCCTTTACAAGCGGTCGGATCCACGAGAAAAATATTGCATTACATTTCTTAAAGCTCTCTTGTAGTCCACGTCAAGTATTTACTAGATCATTACAGTAGACGTGACCGATTTTCAGGGTGAACCACTTAAATCCTTTTGTTCACAATCTAGCTTTATATTACGAGTCCACCAAGGGTTGACTGTATTGAGTTTTGTTGACCTCCTAATTTTAAAGCTCTATGTAATTCACGTCTAATATATGTCAGATCATTACAGTTTGCGCAACCCATTTTTAGGGTTGGAACTACTCAAATCCTTTTGTTCAAAATTTAACTTTCTATCCCGAATCCACGAAGGATTAACCATACTGATTTTTGGTGAAGGTGGGATGTTTCCAACTATATTTCCATATTTCCTAATTAAGATCGATGGGTTTTTTTTTGTTTTGAGATAAACATATGGCTAAACACAATGTAATTAATGTAATTGAGTTTTAAGTTTTTTTGGACAACTAGGGAGAGCCATAGACGCAATGTTGTTACGTAATATATAGAGCAATTTCAGGGGTCGGTGGATCTTGCTCTTTGCTCGGGTGCTCTATTTTTGGGAAAGAGCTAAATAAGCCGCTTACGAGTTCCCAAAATTGCATCATGTCCTCCCTAAAGTGCGTGCAAGTATATAGGGTAGTCGTTGTCATACTCCCATTCATCTAGTGACACTTATTTTCTTTTTTCGCCGAGGTATGTGGTATTTTACACTCCGAAAAATAGGACTAATCTCTAGAGGAGTTCGAAAATACTAAAAGTATTTCAGCCTACTTTTGGACACAGTCAAATAACACACGTTCTCTCAAAACTTTTAACCAAAAATCAAATAACACACGTTCTTTCAAAACTTTTAACCAAAAAATCATTCGCGCATTTGCTAACTTCGTTCGTCGAACCCAAGAACAATGAGCATACCTGTCTCGAAGTTTTATCACCAATTTTACTGGACAACTTATGTTTGTCACACTCATTTTTCTAAATTTTATGTTTTGAGAGATAAATAAGTAAATCATAATAATAAGTAAAACACTGTAAATAAATAAAACGAAAATGTGAAATCACTGGATATACAAAACTCAGAAGAGAGGACAAGTGTAATTCTCTTTATACTATTTGTTCCCTTTTTATCTTTTTCCTTCTTAAATAGTATTGAGGCATTTACAAAAAGGCAAATAAAAAGTAAAAAGAAGAAAAAAAAGGGCAGAAATGTAGTAGGTCCAAAAATCACGTAAAAGCATTGGTGTCGGTGTAGTCCATGTCGATGGAACAGCTCAGATGGTTGAAGGTTCTCGTGTGGCACTATTACTACTTTAAGGAAAAGGATCCGGCGCAGATCTTTTTCTTTAGATAGTAAGTATTTCGTAATCGTGATCATTCATTGTATATTGTCCGGTCAAAAATTATTTCAAAATTTAAAATTTAAAATTAAAATATAAATAGTATCTAACGAAAATTAACCGTATAATGTACGATGAACTGTTATGATCATGGAATCCCTAGGATCCTTAGAAAAAGAATCTGACGAAAATCATTTTCCCTACTTTATGGTGTAAAATCAACCATGTCTAAGAGTACGTACGGTCTTTCATTTGTTTTATCGATGTCAAAACCTTACTTCTAAGCTTAAATATTGTGTATAAAGTATTATATTATTGGATGTGTGCGTATCATGTGTAATTTGAGACAACTATGTTAAAACTCAAAATTAAGAGGTTAACCCTAGATGGGTGTGGGTTGACGCTCATCAATATAAAGTTTGGGGGACACAATTAGGATTAATAGCATAATTAATAAACATAAAGATGTAAAGTGGTTCACTTGTAAACTGGGTTACATCCATTGTAGTCTCTATATATATTGACTGCAGTGGCGGATCCAGGAAATAATATTAGGGGGTCAGTAAGAATAGCGCGTGGAGCGCGCAATTTTTTTATACCAAAAATAGCATGCATATCGTCATTTCATCGAGTCTTGGTAGGCCTGAAGTCATTTGAAAATGCATACTACAAATATGTTAATGTATGCAAGGGGCAGCACCTAAGGTATTCATGGACATTCATCGGGTTTTGGTAGGCCTGAAGTCGGTTGGAGGGGAAGTATGAAGCCAACTATAATCTTCAAAAGAGCAACACTCAAGGTATCCATGGACATTCACCGAAATTGGAAGGGTCAGCACCTAAGGTATCTATGGACGTTCATCGAAGTTTCCGGGGGGGGGGGTCAGCTGACCCCCCCTTGCCCCTTAATGGATCCGTCAGTGATTGACTCAGAGCAATCTAGTCTATTTTTCTCCTTTTTTCCAACCCGTTCTAAGAGGCACTCATCCTTCTTATATAAGTACTTAGCGAGCCCCAAGTCTTATGAGCTCAAGTTTTCCAGGCATCGGTTTTGCATTTAATGCACCGAATATGTAGACATGACCTGCTAGTTGTCTCTCTGTTCTTTAGTCGACACGTGTTGGCAAAATGACATTCGTTCAGGTCCACTTGCTTGACTAACATAGGGTAAAATTAACGAGTTGGTCAGTAGTCTTCACTCGCCCTGCAACATGGATCCCCCATTTACCACTCGTTATAGTATAATGAATAGAAAGCTTGAAGGCAAGCTTGCTTGACTAACATAGAGTATAAGCCTGCCTAACTGTGAGACCTACTAGTCGAATAGAGATGAAAGTCTGCAAAAAACAAAAAAAAAAGAGGAAGAAGAAAGAAATGCCGCTTAAAGGAGAAATGCTGCCAAAAGAAGAGGAAATAAGACTCTGAGTGTGCAGTGTTCAGTTTCAAAATAGCAGTTTTATCGTTTATACATCTAGAAACTTGAACATAATTAATCATATGGTTCAAAATAACATTAATTTATAGAATAGAACAAATCTAATTTTATATTGCATACTTAAACATAAAAGTTACAAAAGATTATTGCAAGTAGCATCATTCCTTTGGTATCATGTCTCACGTGTACCAAAAAAAAAAAAAAACAACATTTTACAGAATGTGTCACCAACTATTATGGGCCCAGCTGCCATTGTTGTGTTGAATCATCATATACTAGTTTCAATTTCTACCTTTTTTTTTGTCTGCTATTTTGATATCACATTTTAGTGTGCTCAGCCATACTTGAAGGGGCACTTGAAATTTTTTTTTATCTACTTATATAATGACATATAGCATATCGTCTTGTGTTTCGATCATATTGAAAAATTTCTTCATTTTTTAAACACATGTTCTTTTTCTTCATTAGGATCGGGTAGCATTATTAGCACATCGAATGAAAAAATTAACCCTGCTGAAACACAATTTT